CGCTGCTCTCAGGCTGCCCCGTCAAGCAAGGGTTCACAGCCCTAGTAACCGTAGCCCAGATCGTCTAGTTGGTTAGGATGATACGTTGTGGTTCTTCTATACAGCGATCCGTGTTGACGGCGGTTCGAATCCGCCTCTGGGCACGAAACCTTTTGTTTCCTCTTTTGCTCGTCGTAGAATACAGGGTTTGGCTTTAATCGACTCTTTGTTGTGATTTTTGTTGGGGTTGGTTGCTTTGCGTGCCTTGAGATACTTTAGGTTTTGAAGATCCTACAACACCGGATGATGCAGCGGGACGTGTAAGCTCAGACGAAAGTGGGGTACTTTCGCCGATGTCTTCGCGGCATGCTGGAGACTTGCTACGCATCCTACCTCTTTCTGGTTTGCTTAGAGCAAGGTAGAAAGAAATGGACACTGCAACTTAACTCGACTTATCGAGTTCAAGGTTTCATTAGAACCACAATTGCGTCCGATTTGGCTCGGAGGAGTTGGGGTCCAACGACTACTCCGTATCCTACCTTGTATCATCCATGTTCCTCCAATTGGCAATGATGTCTTTCTGAGTATCTAAGAAGGTCGAAATTAGGTAAACCTGGTTTGGACTAATGAAGGCGAGCCAGGAGCACCAAGCAGCTATCATTGGTCTTCGGATTCATAGGTTTCTGATTAATCGCCACAATACGGCAGGTTGCGCGTGGAGGCAGCCCTTTGTAACTGATATGACCATGTGTACATACATGCATTGCCGTTGGAACTCAGTTCAACTCTGCCCCCGCCAAGGCCTTTCAGCCGCCCGACATGAGACGATCAGCGAGATTGGAATAGCACACATCCAACCTAGCGGCTCCTACAATTCGCTGAAGTCGGAGGGGGCCAACAAATCCCTGGCTGCGTCTCACCGCATGGATTCCTGCCGGCACAGCGGTCCAACCAAGGTGGACACGCGGTCGGAAGCCGGGGGTTGCGGCCGCTAGGGAAGGGTAATCTTACCACAACCGGCTCTACGAGGCTCCTTCCGTGGCCCTATCGACACGTCAAAGTTTGAAAAGGTGGGTGGACGCTGTACCAGTAGATTGGATTGCGGGGCTGACGTGAGCCTGTCAACTTCGTTTAAGGCTTAATTGGTGTTGATATGTCGGGCTCTTTTCGATAACCAGATCAGGCTGTACGAAGACTTACGACATTCCCGACTTTTGACTCGAGCATTTTTGACCGCTCGTCTCGATCGAAGAAAAGTGTTTGCCTGTGGGCGAAGAGTCACGTTGTTGGTTGCGGAATAAAGTGCGGCGCAGCACCGGGATAAAGAAAGCACGTCAAATTTTCTTCGTTGGTTCCAACTCTGTTGCCGCTGTTTGTGATTCGGACGAACAGCCATATTTGGTTTGTTTGTTCGATCTCATCACACGGCTTTTGTGGTCCACCCTGGTAACTCAACCTAAATAGAACTTCACTGCAACTTTGATGCTGGGAAACGATGCGTTGGGCGTTGCAACTCGGTTACCATTGGGGGCCCGTCCCGGGGGCGGGCTGAAGCAAACTGCATGCCGCAGCGGCGCAGAGGAGAACACGGGCGAGCGGTAAGGATTGAATGGGTGTGGCGCGCCGCGGTTCCCGTCCGAAGAAACGCAGAGATACGGCACGTCCTTGCCTTGCCCAGGCAGATGCCAATTCTCCGAAGGAAGAGTGCGTTATATATATGCAGAAGACTGTGCCCCGTTGCCTTTCGATCCTCTCTTCTGTGCTTAGACACTGCAGCAATTTTGTTCTTACTGTCTCACAGTCCACTTCTGCGGCTTGATTTGGCCTTCTTACACGCAGCCCACTAGACCACGCATATTTCCCCCAAATTTGCCTCGACGCTATGGAGACAGACACGAAGCCCACAGCTGGAAGTGATGTCGAGCGAGGGAGCTCGTACACAGGCAGTGTTCTTCCAGAAACCAAGGAAGTCGTCGATGGAGCGTCGCCGAATAAACACCCCAGAGATGGCATGGCGGCCTGGCGTTGGCCATGCATCCAGTCTGCTTTCTTCCTCGGAGGCATGCTGCTTGGTAGGATTGCTCGTTTCTTCTGAGTTTACAAAACTCCAAACATTAACTGACTTCTGCTGGGAACATCTACATAGGATACGATGTCAGTAACATTGCGAACATCCAACCACCGATCTACGAAGCCTTCGGCCAGGTTCATCTTCTGCCATGGGTTGCGACAGGTTACACGGCGGCCCAAGTCTGCATGGTTCCTCTGGTCCGCAAGCTGGCGCTCTTGGGCCATGTGAAGTTGCAGATAGTCGCCTACACCTTGATCTTCCTCATTGGTGCGGCCGTGTCTGGATCCGCAACCAGCATGAACTCTGTCATTATCGGCCGTGCGGTCTCCGGAATCGGTGGTGCTGGGATCTACCAGCTGTAAGTGATATGCACGCTACCCCGTTCACTCTATCCGCATTAGCTGACGATATGATGTAGCTGTATCTTGGTCAACGTCCTTCTCACGACTCCAGCTGAGCTTCCTCGCGTTCAAGGTATCATGGCCGTCTCGTGGGCAATCGGACTGACATTGGGTCCCGTCATCGGAGGGGCCTTTGCTGAGAACCAAAGTGCTACTTGGAGATGGGCCATGTATCTCAATCTTCCCATTCTGGCTGTCATCGCTGTTCTCAACTTCGTAGCTATGCCTCCCATCGAGGTTGGCGTCAAAACGCCACTTATCAGCGGTCTCCTTGCCATCGACTGGTTCGGTATCGTCCTGCACATGGCCGGGTTTATCCTCTTATGCTCCGCCCTCATCTTCAGCGGTTCCACTTGGGATTGGTCGTCTCATTCAGCGATCGTGGCCTGGGTTTTCGTGGGCGTAATCTACGCCATTTATCTTACGCAGCAATACTTCTGTTTTTTCACTAGCAAGGAGCACCGAGCAATCCCCGCCGACCTCCTCAGGAGCCGAACCGTCGCCCTCGTCGGCCTTGGAACAATGGCTGCCGGCAGCTGTTACGGAATCGCCTTGTACTACACACCATTGTTCTTTGCCTTTACAAAGGGAGTTGAGCCAGTTGATGCCGCCGTCCGCATACTTCCTTTCATCTTCACCTTCATTATCTTCACAATCGTCATGGCCGGCATGATACCCGTCATTGGTCGATATGCCCCGTTCTACGTGGCAGGTGGTGCCCTGGCAATGATCGGCGCCGGCCTCCAAACTCAAATCACACCTCAGACCTCCGAGGCCCGAGTGATGGGAGTCAGTACCCTAATCGGGGCCGGGACGGGATGCATGTGGCAGACTGGAGTCGCCATTATGACACAGGCTGTACCGGCGAACCGTCGTCTCGATGTCACCGCTCTCTTCATCATGGTTCAGCTTGGCGGTATCTCAGTCACACTTGCCCTAGCAGGATGTGTCTTTTCAAACCTCGGCTTCAACCGTCTCCACGCATCGCTCTCTGGGCTCGGATATAACGATCACGACATTAGGGAAGCACTGGCTGGTCTCGACTCCAAGATTTGGACGGCTGCGGATCGTCGGGTGGTTGCGATTGCCGTTCAGGATGTCGCGAGTGTCATTGCCGATATGCAATTTGTGATTATGGCGGCGGGAGCTGTTGCTTTCCTGAGTGGTTGTTTCATGAAGTGGGAGAAGCTGGACTTTGGGAGGGGGAAGGCGTCTAAGTGAAGTTGTGTGAGCCAGTAGGTAATTGCGCCCGAGGCTCGAGGCTTAACGAGATAAATTTGATGAAGAGCACCTGCCCTGTTCAAGGTGGTGCCAGAACAGTGTTTCCCCCCGGTCTAATTTGCTTTTTATTGTTTGCAGCTTCAATTTTTGCATGCTGTAGCGATGTTTGGAATATGATAGATGGGCTTACGCAAAAATTGAATAAGTACTAGGTAATCAACAATCCATTCTGTGTGGGACACGTACCAAGTCGAATTAGGGATAAACATTCCTCACCAGTTTATTGCCAAGAGGAGATGAAATGGGGGATGCGGATGGAAAAAAAGATCCTCAGTAGGGAATCGAACAAAAGTTTAAGCGTTGGTTTCGCGTAGTTCTAGTAAGAATGGATTCCACCGGCGCCTCCTTAACCCCTCGACCACGGTCCCAAAATTGCTTGATGGAAGGAGGGAGGGAGAAGACCCTTGAGTACCTACCCTGAGCCATTTACCTACGTATACTCCCACGTGATCACACGTATTCACCAGGTGCTGCTACCACGGTGCTACCGCTCTTGGAGCATGTGCCGGCTTTTACTCTGTGGTGAATCTTTCCCAAACTGTCGTTTAGATACAAGAAGCATAGGTAACACCTTATCTGAGAACTAGCGCATACATTTTACTTTAGGGATGTGAACTTGTGTCTTCTTTATCCCCCGTGTATGGAGAAGGACCGAGTTATCCATAAATTATCGATCGCGAAGAGCTACTCTTGTGCTCGTGATCAGCTAAGGGTAGTAGGTATCTCTTGTGTTCTGTTCAAGTTCGTTTCTTATGGGGTTCTGGGGTAATTTACCTCTGGTCTCTACTGAGAACCACGGAAGCCGAAAATGACTCAAATATTTTGTATGTTCAACACGCCAAAAGTGAAGTAGAAGCCCACCTTGTGGAAGGGTTGGCGGGGAGCAGGCCAACTTCTGACGAGCTAGAGCGAACACCGAGCTGCCTAGCATCAAGCAAGTTCCTCGAGGATACGCTCAGAAGTCTCACTATCCGCTCCCAGTGGTAGCAGCATCTCCTTACGTTTCTTCACGAGGTTCCAAGTTTTGTATGATTCTGCGGGAAGACAACAAGCCATAAAGCAATACTTAGGTATCGATCATAGTCGATGCCTGACAGGTAAGAAGCCTAAGTGCGAATCTCTGCTGTCCTATGACGTGACTTCATCGCCTTTTCACTGCAACACTTGTCGACATCCACGAGATAACGAAAGGAACCATCCGCAGCCTTGCAACGTAGTAACGGTACGACCTCCAGCCCGACGATCTCTCCCTTTATTTCCCAACTTCCTTACTGAGAGCTTGACGCGCGGTTATGGTTCTTCAGGCGTGGGTCAGTACCGGGGTAAAATTCGCCATCATCGGAAAACGTATGCGCTGGCGGAGTGGGGTCAGCTTGGCCAGGTCTGCTGTGCCGGTTGGGCGGGGTGGTAGGGTTGAAGGGACCGGCCGAGAGACCGGCCGAACCTGGCGTAGGAGAACGTCCGGGAGGGGTGTGGTGAATGTATTGAGCGTACGGGTTGTAGTTCGAATAGCCAGCAGCAGCTGCTGCTGGATCGACTGGAGAAGAGCGATGATCGTCAGGGCCGTAGCCGGGAGGCCGAGAGCCTAGATTATTGTCAGGACGGAACTTGAGACCGGGATGAGAAGGAGGGATTGGGCCTGCATGAGCCGCATGAGGCGCGCCGTAATGGGAAGGACGGTATAATGGGTGAGGCGGGTATGGAGGCTGAAGAGGGTGGGTAGGATCGTAGCCAGGATAAGGCATACCTTGAGCTGCCGCCATGTTTGCAGCCTCAACGGCTTTGGCCTGGTGGTAGGCAAGATCGCCTGCGATTTTGGGGGTTAGCGTTATGTTGTGATGAAGATGGTGGGATGGCACCATGTCCATGTGAAGATCCGGGTTGCTGATCGACGGGGCCAAACGGTGGGGGTGGGGCTGGCACGTGAAATCGCGGGGGAATGAAGCGTCTCATGTGAGGAGGAGGAGGAGGAGGAGGAGGAGAATTGAGATGTCTGTATTTGGCTAACATGTGCATATACATACCGTGATCAACTGGTGTACTGGTAGGAGAACTATCAACGCGCGTGGGGGTGAAGGGCTGAGCGGACGGGTTGAGGTTGGCCGTGGAACCCGAGGAAGCGCTGACTTTGCCAGAGCTGGAACGAGACATGCTGATGCTAGGGGTGCTACCTCGAAATGCTATCGCGAGAATGTGACTTTCCTGTTTTGGGAATGTTCTGGATCGAGTGTAGCAATGGTGCTTCTTTTTCGGAACTCGGATGCGGCGTTTGATGAGATGGGGCTGTCTGTCGCAATGGAAAACGGAAGGAGCGAAAGTTGCAGTGGGGACTGTACCCTCCATGTTTATACCATTGTGTCTGTTTGGTGGTTTGTTGAAGATATTCTCATATTTCGCGTTTGATTGTGGAATACAATGGAGACTGTTGAGTTGTGCCAGAAGAAATGTTTAGACAAGAGGTCTGGTTCCTGCCTGAACGGTACCAATTTCATCCGAAGTGTACCGCCAAGTTGGTCTTTTGTTAATTGTTCTTCCGTTTGCTGCCTGGAAAAGAGCGCTTGAAACCCTGGGTATCCTTTGTTTGAGTCCTCCCTCGCTTTTGGAACAAAGATCGATATCAATCTGCTTTGCTGCCCACAATATTCCTCCTCATACTGCATAGAAACACTCATACTGCAAAGAGAACAAAAGGGCGATCTCGACATTTGAAACACCAGTAGAAACCACTTTTAGACTTATCAAAAGTTCCTCGGGCATAGTAGCAGCTTCTGGACTTGGAAATCTGCATCTTGACTACATTGAAACCTACTTCACCTTCACTGATGCCTTTGAAGTTTGCGGCGTCATGACAAATTATTGCTGCCTCGCCACGCCGACCGCACAGATTGTGGGAGTTCCTGCCTACTTTGGTAGCAGGTGCTGCCGCAGAAGGCCCATATCAGATATCGTTGCTCATCTGAAGCCGTATTTGGCATTGAATATGACACAAATTCTGAGTCTTGATAAGGCATAGGTTTCCGTTCAATCTCAAGCTATGCGTATGTGACTGAATATCGCTAAGCGTGCTTAACGATCTGCCGCTACACCCCTTTAGTTAGGTGTACACATATGTCAGGCACCGTTGCCCTGTTCTGGAAGATCTGCAAAAGGCCCTCGGACTTTATTTCAAGCTCCAGGGTCTCCATGTTCAAGTACCGTGAAGGAAAAGATGGATGCTCCATGAATTGCCACATGTTCCGCGCCGTATGCAAGCAATGTCAAGTTTGTTCTGTAGCACTGCGGATAGCTCCGAGGCTTATGCGCGACACAGACAAACAGCTGCTAGATTCGGCAGGAGGGTAAGACAAGATCGGTTCTTCATACTGCACACATGCCGCAAATGACGTTAATTGATGCGAATCCGACAAGCGCGCAATCTTCAAGTCCTTTTGCGTGCCGAGTGGGCCAAAAGGTTGGTCTCCCCGAGCACCGAGCAAAACACCAACTTGATGCTATCTCATACAGCACGTGAAGATCGTGGGAAGTCCAAACAAGGTGTGCATGGGCAGGTTAGAGTTGCCAATTCTGATTGAGATCTGATCGCTGACCGATTAACTTCGAGCGGATCCTGCTCCGAAGTCCGACACAACCTCTGACATGCCAAGGAAACCCACGCTGACCGGTCCTCCTCCGTCTGATACTCGGACAATGTCGCCGACTTGGCGAATTGAGGCTTTTGCTACAGTCGCAGGCCATACCACCCTTTGACGCGTTATAGGGGAGCAAGAGAAATAGCCCAGCCACCTTGTGTGAGAAAATGTCCGACATCGGTTGTAATCGAGACCGGGGGAGCTGACGAAGCGACGTCACAACTTATCCCGCGCGTTCGAAAATGACTCGGAGTAAACGTCACAGGGCCTCCGAAGGCCAAGATCGCGACGAATTTCCGCGGTAAACGGACCTTGAAGATGCTGACGAAAACTTGACAAAGTGCAGGACAGCGTTGTAGGCCAACGGCCGAAGCCCTGCGATGTCTCCCGATCTCCCGCGCGCGCGCGTCTGAAGCTCCTCAAAAGTTCAAAACACCAGCAACCTTGAGAAATCCAGTCCTGGTCGCCCCGGCCCACCCCCAGCTCCGCGACTCCACTACGGTCGGGCTTCCGATGCAGACGGCGGCAGCGGCTCGGAGGAGATGGCTCGTTGCGGCAACTGCAATGTGATCACCCGCCTTGCGCTGTTTTTGCCTAGTCCAATGTTACCTCTTTCCGCGTAATATGGAAGAAGAAAGCGTCCGAAAAAGGTCGACAAAAACCGGTTAGAAGCAAAGTCTGTACGGTTTTACATCAGCATCTGTCATCCACAAGCAGTTTCCCGAAAAGCTGCCAAGTTCTGGTTTTGAACAACTGTGCCTCGCTCACATGTGACATGTACCTGTAGAATTTAGGCGCGAAGAAGGGGAACCGCGTCTTTAGGTGTTGTATGATGTGCTTCCCGCGTCTTGGCCACCTCTTGGGGCCTCTCAATAGGTCGTTTGGTTGCGTTCGGTTCAGTGACGTGAGGTTGCATCGGCACATAGAGCTTCTCAACAAGGGATAGTTCCGGAACGTCGCAGTGCAAACGGAATCGCCCTGTCCGCGTCTAAATCGTCCCCCACGGTTGCCCGGCTCCATAGGTTGCGCCGGGGCCCGGCTCGAAGAGAGGCCAGCCAGCAACAACACCAACTTTCAAGGCTTGGCCCAGTTGCTGCCCACGGATCGCGGGGGCAGAAAATCACACCACTTGAATCCACTCGTAGAGATTGATTAGATTGCGTCGCAGCCACTCTGGAGCCATCTCGATCTGGACTCTCTGGGGTCTGGATCCTCCCTCCACTCACTGTCGAAGCCTAGCTTGTCGCCAGAGCCTTTTACGCAGAGACTGGGACCTGGGGGAGGGAAGAAGGACAGCTTCGTTGGTCACAAGGCCTCAGCTGGAAAAAGCCTGGAGCGGTTCCTTGCGGTTTCGTTTTCAAGGACATGATCCTGGAAGCCTCGACGATCCTCCGAGTCGATCCCGAGCTCCCCGCTGCGCCGCACAGGACAATCAGGCCCCAAAAGTCGTTGATCGCGACTGAGTGGACGATCAGTGATCATTGATCAGTGATTAGTGCCTTTATGTCGGTAGCCAGCAGGCGATGAAACGCTGCGTTGCTTTCGTTTGCGGTCTCGTATTCCGGCGGCCAGATAGTCCTAAGCTCGGCCGAGAAGGTAGTTAATCGTGACAACCAAGTTCCACCCCGCCCACCGGCAGTCGCGGGCCCACTCCGCAGGCCGGGCCGTGGGCGTTAGACCGATGTCATTTGTGGACTTGGACTTGGTTGTAAAGATTAACGCGGTAGCTTGCAACTAGGTTGAAAGTGCTTGCATGAAGCACCACACCTGGAGGCTTGGTCCCACGAGTTGTGAGGTGGGGTCTTGCAGCACGTTGCAGGATTCTGCCAACGTGGTTGATACACCTTGATGAGGATGTTATCGATGTTTGGATGTGATGTGATGGATGGATGGATGAATGGATGTATGCGCGCACGTCGGCCCCGACAACTTTCCTGTTTGAGAGCCGGCGGTCAACTTCACCCGCAGTCCTGACAAGGACATGGTTTCTTTCTCGAGATGGCTGCGAGGTCTTCTCAACGCGGAAGGAGAATTTTGATGTGTCAGTCCGAACCTCTCGATGTAGCTCGGGTGGAGTTCAAAGATGTCTGCTGGCCATCAGTGGGAGGATTCACGCAACAACCCCGGTGGATGACCTTGGGTGTGATGCAACTCAACACGGATGTACGTGATGGTGAGAGATTTTCCTTCTTGCGTCCGGTCCAGGAAGGAGGATGAGGACTTGCGTTGTCAGGGTATTGGGGGTCGAGGTTGTCGACGGGGCCCAAAGGAGGCTGGCGAAGATATTTAAAGTCTCGAGCGCTCGCCAACATGGTGACGAGTCGACAAGCAACAGGAGCATTTACTCCTTCAGATCTATTAGGATTTGGAATAGTCTGGTCTTTATTTGGCTCTCATTTGGAATTTATCCTTGCCAGTTCCCTCCTCCAGTCTATTTTAGTCCCGCAGCCATGCAGAACACTATCGTCCAAGACTCGGCGTCAACTCCGGTTGGGCCAGCCCCTCTATCCTTCACCCAAGGCGAACGAATCAAGTCCACCTATCCCACTGTTACGGCCGCATTCTATCATCATGCAGAGACTCATCCTGATGTCACCGCAGGGCGTGACTTGTCGTCGCAGCAGATTCGTGAGATCACTTACGGTGATCTTGCTACTCGAGCCAACCAGCTCTCAAGGAAACTGACCACACTCGGGGTCAAGCCTGGAGATAGGGTGCCGCTTGTCGTAAAGCGAGGCATTGACATGCTAGTCGGTATCGTTGCAATTCTTTCTTGCGGTGCTCAGTACGTTCCTCTCGACGGTGGTGTGGTGCCAGATTCTACACTACGGTTTGTTTTGGAACAGGCGGGCGGCAAGCACGTTTTATGTCTCAAGTCGACAAAGCATCGATTCGAGACTCTCGGTGTTCCCTGCGAGACCTTTGTCATTGATGAAGATTCGGAGAAAGATAAGGAGCTTTCGCAATCCTACCCTATCCAGGACCTGGCCCAGCCAGACCATGGCTGCTACGTCATCTACACCTCTGGTAAGCGAACATGTCATCGTCCATTTAGAGTTGAGAAAACATTTGGGCTAATGCTTTGGGGCTGTAGGAACCACAGGCACTCCCAAAGGAGTGGATGTCACCCACAAAAATGTGACTAACCTCGTTTGCCTTTCACCCGGTGGCCTGGGTATCTCACCTGGAACGCGGGTGGGTCAGGTGTTGAACATCAGCTTTGATATGGGTAGGCCTTAGTTGCTAGTACCCTAATCGCTGTTGCTGACTTCGTGGTAGCTGCCTGGGAGATGCTGGGATGTCTCTGCAACGGAGGAACTCTCGTCTTGAGAGGCTCAAAATGGGAGCCGTGTCTGAGAGAGGTGAGATAACTAAGACTAAGCATCCAACAAAACAAGACTAACATGACCCCCAGGCCCAAGTCCTGATTTGCACACCAAGCATCTTGGCCAAGTATGATCCTAGGGAGTACTCCAACATCAGAGTTGCTGCGACGGCAGGTGAACCTAGCTCTCAAAGGTGAGACTTCTATTGCAAGTTTGAAGTAAATTACACTGACGATGGGCTTGATAGGCTCGCCGACCTTTGGGCCACCCACGCAACCTACTACAACTGCTGTGGACCTACGGAGACTACCATTGTCAACACCATGCATCTTCACCGCCCAGGTGAAGCTCTGACAATCGGAAAGCCTACCCCAAACAACACTGTCTACGTCCTTGACGCGCAGGGCAACTCTCTTGGAGTTGGAGAAGCCGGAGTTATGTGGGCCGGTGGCCACGGGATCTCTCGGGGCTATGTCTCTCTGCCCGAGAAGACTGCTGAGAGATACAAGCTGGACCCTTTTGCCAATGATGGGTGAGTACAATTCATCAAGCTACTCAGATGTACCTGCTAACACTCTTGTAGGTCTATGATGTACAATACTGGTGACCTCGGTCGATGGAGATCAGACGGCTCCATTGACATCCTCGGAAGAGTCGATGACCAAATCAAGATTAAAGTGAGTCGCATCTCTAACCTCATCCTCATGGTATGAAGGACTCTCTAACGCATACTTTGCAGGGTTTCCGGGTCGAGCTTGACGGAGTTACCTCTTCGATCAGCTCTTGTCCCATTGTCTCAAAAGCCACCGCGCTGTTCATCAGCAACGAGATCCACGGGTTCGTCGCCCCCAAGAACTGCGATCTCGACACGATCCAAGTCCACGTCAGGGCCCGTCAGCCTTACTACGCGATCCCGACCAAGTTCCACTTCCTTGATGCCCTTCCCCTGACTGCGAATGGCAAGGTCGACAAGCGGGCGCTTCAAGATATGGTCACCGAGACTGGAGATACCGACAAGAAGGAAGTTGCCGATGTCACCATCAGGGAGACCGCCTCAAAGGAGTCCCTATCCACGGACAGCAACTCCACTACCACGGACCTCAAGGCCGAATCCTCCGCCTCTAGTTTCACCGAGACAGACGAGAAGCTCGACCTCACCGGCGACGTCCCCGACAAGAACCTCGGCCGTCCCTACCGTGGTTTCGTTCACCGGATCGCCATCGTCTACCGTCGTCTGTTCACAATCGTGGGTCTCTTCAACATTGCGGCCGTCATCGCCCTCGTCTTTGCCGGGTTCCAGCGCAACTGGCTCAGCACTCTCACAGCCATCAACTTGGTCGTCGCCGTTCTCGCCCGTCAGGACTTTGTCATCAACGCGCTTTACACAATCACCTGCAACGTGCCAAAGTCCTGGCCCCTTGCCATCAGGAAGCGCTGCGCCAAGATTTTCCACTTTGGTGGTGTTCACTCGGGCGCTGCTGTTTCTGCCGGAGCTTGGCTTTTGGCTTCCAACATTAGCGATGAGGTCTGCCAGCTGACCGAGTGCCCCAATTGGGGCCACCAGTCTGTAGCTTCAAAGGTCGTCTCTTGGCTTCTTACGGGTCTGTTCACCATCACTATCGGTCTCGCTTGGCCCGGATTCCGCAAGACCCATCACGACCTCTTTGAGAAGACCCATCGTTTCGTGGGATGGACCATGCTAGGACTGTTTTGGGTCCAGGTTGTCCTCGGCGCGAACGATAGCAAGGTCGAAGAGATGTCTCTGGGTGACGCATGCATCCGTACGCCCGGCTTCTGGATGCTGGCGGTCGCCACGATGAGCATCGCCTCCTCTTGGCTGTTCCTCAAGAAAGTCCCCGTCGAAGCTGAGGTGCTTTCCGGCCACGCAGTGAGACTGCACTTTGACTACACAGTTCCCGTCAACGGTAGCTTCGTTAGACTCTCTCAGAGGCCTCTTCTTGAGTGGCACTCGTTCGCCACGATTCCAGCCCCTGAGAAGGTCGAGCACCGCGAGAAGGGTTTCTCTCTGGTTGTTTCCAACGCAGGCGATTGGACCAAAAATTGCATCCAGAAGCCCCCTACCCACATTTGGGTTCGTGGTGTCCCGACCTGTGGTGTCATGCGCATCGCGACTTGCTTCAATCGCGTTGTTGTCATCGCCACTGGATCCGGAATTGGGCCTCTTCTCGGCCACATTCAGCAGCCGAGCTGCGCGACACAGTTAATCTGGTCCACACCGAAACCCGAGCAGACATTTGGCAAGCCTTTGCTTGACGCCATCAAGAAAAAGATTCCCAACGCGGTGATTCACGATACCAAGGTATCGGGCCGTCCGGATCTGGTGAAGATGGGATACAACCTTGTTCAGAGCTTCAACGCCGAAGCTGTCATTATCATTGCGAACGAAAAGATCACGAAGAAGGTTGTTTATGGTCTTGAAACTAGAGGTGTTCCGGCATATGGCGCTATTTGGGACTCTTGAGCGAGTTGCTTGTTGGAAGCGCCAATGGATGATTCCTTTCCTTGCTGTTTTTCATTGTTCCTTGACTTTTAAATGGAGTTTGGCGTTTCCCGGATGATTTTCATTTATGGTGCGACTCAGTCGGCCAATATCTCACATTTCTCTCCCATGATTGTCATCCAAACTGTTAGCTAGATAGTGATCTCAGTCCACTCTTTACTATGATGTTCAAGCTGTGTCTTTTGCAATGAAGTCATCCGCAACCGAGGGATATCGCCATTTACCTAAGTACACGTTTGGCGGATACAGCCATGTTAAGGCAATGACATTGACTTTCGCAGATTGTCAGAGCAGCTTCCATCCAGGGAATAACACATACTTGTAGTCTACTTCAAACGGCTTCGTTGTTCCGAGCAATTACGTGGTGACTCCTCGTAGGTGATTTCTCGTCGCCAAATTAGACAGACTGCTAGTTGTATCCCATCTTTCCAATACATTTCGTCCGTCACATACTAATGCAGGTATATGTTGACATTATGCTTTGTTCTGGTTGACCAGGAATACGAAAATGAAATCAGAATGGAATAGGATGGCCGAGTGAAGCTACTCTATCTTCATAAACAACGCGAGGACTGGGAAATGACGGCGGCCATTGCTGATACAAGGCCCACAACTAGATCGGGGAATTAGTCAGTCACCAATCAATAATGAGGGACCACGGAGAGCCTACCAGGTGGCCAAGGCAGACTCGTGCGCTGCGGACAGAATAGGGATGAGTTCTCCAGTCTAGTTTGCCGAGACATCCATACTCCAGAAGTCTTTGGCCAAAGACTCGAGAGGCTGCAATGTCATCGGTCCTATCTGTAGATATCAAGAACAACACAAACAACCTTTGCAAGATTAGCTCACTTTCTTGGCAATGGTAATCTATGACTCGCCGAGATTATGCGTGCGTCCAGTCATGTCCGACGACTAACTCCGGACACGAGGTTGCCTTCTAGTGTCCTGTCTTCCTGCCTTGAATCTTATTCGCCGGTGGCTTGAAGAGCCTGGCGGCTGGACTTGCTAGCTCTCCAGAAGTCTTCGAAGCCCCCGGGGTCTGAGCGCTCTGATGATCGGGCACACGTGTGTCATCGATTAGATGGATGGCTGATAGTTTACACGGAGCTGCACTTGGCGATAACTCTCTGGCCAGTTGGACTTGAGGTAATTAAACACAGCAGCGCAGCAGTCGCTGTAACCTCAAGGGGTCGGGGATGTGAAAACAAAGATCTGTGATGTGGCCTAAAATATTTCAAGATACGCGTGGTGCATGGATTGAGGGGTAGCGTGCTGGCTTCGGTGGCATCGTGCTTAGGTCGTCTTGGTACACATGATAGTGCAATTTGCACCAAGTCTTTACCATTTAGAACAAGATGCGTCCTTTGGTGTTGTCTCTTCCTATGAATCCAATATTGCAGAAGCTTTGGTATGTGTTGGTATCCCTACCACAGGATAGTTGGTTCGAACCGTGGGTTGACGAAGAGGTCAATTGATCTATCTTAACTTCTGCGTGAGGTGCAAAAGGTAGGTTCTAACCGGAGGTTGAGCAGGCCGCGATTCACGTAAGTACGGGTTGTAAGTGGTCGCTGCGCGGGCCCCTTGCCTCGAGGTCGAATTGGACTTTCAATCCGACAGTATGTAGCCATGGACACATAGCCACCAGTCTGCGGAAAGTGTCACCGCATTTGGAAAGGGTAGATGCTAAGTACATGTACTATGCCAGGAAGGTATTTCTGTTCCTCCATCTAATGTTCAAAGCATGTGTCTTGTCCAAAACCTGTTTTGAACTCCAATAACTTGATAAAGCATTCGTTAAAGTGTGGTAACAGTAGCATTGGTATGGTTCGGTTGTCGTTGCTTCATTAATAACCCTAGGCCGCATAATATGCATATAATCACATCGTGAAGGCGTCTGCAGTTAGGAAGCATTGCATTCAATATTCAACACAGCGCAAAACAAGCCTAATTGCTGCAAGATAGACGATCAGCTTCCTAACAAAGGAGCTCAGAAGAAATTGGGCAGATAATATGCCAAATGCCAAGTAAATCGGTTTCTGAGACATACGTGGCTGGCGAGAGGTTGACAGATGTGTGTTGCCGAGGCTCAAGGTGCCTCTGCATCATGCAAAACCTCGGTTCTGATCAAGGAAGGTTACTCTCAACAGCATAGTCGATGCTGTCCTACGATTCCTGATGCGCTTGGTACTTGTGTGTAGCTACCGCGAATGTTGATCGGGTGTCGAATATGCAATATGGCTGCAGCCGGCCGACCTTGATGTATATGTTACCAGTCGTTGAAGAGTGCAACTTCTGCATTAACTGGGATGACAAGCATGAGCTTTGAGTTATGTGAGAGCTTTTATCGCTGTTTTTGGCACCGAGCAAATGGGTCTGATTGCTAAGTGTCGTCAGTCTGCGGGTGGCTAGATCTTCGTGGACGTTTCGCGGTAGGGACTAATACTCTGAATAGAGCTATGTTAACAGTGAACATCAAATTCGTCAAATTACTGACAAGATTGAATGCTTCATATCTTACCTAGGCCCCCTCTATTTGGTTCAGGTCTTGCATTGGATTGGCCAAACTAAGAGATAAACACATGCCAAAGATCTGTCACCCGAGGTGTCAAGTTGATTCTTGCTGCAGCCTGCATCAACGGGAGGAACAGATCTTGGCAGTAATGTGTCGAACAGTTATGAGGGGTCAAAAGGTCATTCTAGCCGTTGTAACCCTGAGACGGTAACTCGGAGGGTAACATGTTGCTCCAGAAAGGGGAGGTAAGAGTTAGTTCAGTTTTCGATGAACATGTGGGTGAGGTCTTGGGCGAAAGATCGATGATATCAACTTCCCAACTTCCAAGTTTGTTGCGGTAGTCATATTTGATGCCGGAACTTGGCTGCGTCTGCATGCAACCTAGGGCGGCTGCACCATGCGGCATATCGCCTACACCATGCGGCATATCGCCTACACCAAGCGCTAAGTCTGCTTCCCCAGGACCCAAAACAACCTCCTAAAACTAGCTCAATGTGACGTAGACGACGGCTAGCTAGTTGATCAAGGACATTCGTCATTAATACCAAGGGCTGGGCGGCGCAGGGGTGTCTTGAAGCGCTCTAGAAAGTTCAGGTGGCTGAACTTGCACAATCTGCCATCTAAACCAGACTTGCTTCTTTCGGCTCTGATCTGTCCTTCGGCATTCGACAGCCAAACATTGCCCACCTCGACGTTGCATTGTAGCTTGCAGACTCGAGTTGTATTTGGACACTGAATCGGTGGCACAAGTCCGGACACGACTAGGACAAGCAACTTCGGGAGTTGATACTGATTCGTGCGATTTCGTACACAATGCGACGGTTAGCAAATGCAATGTCCTGCTGCAAAAGATTCTCTTTCTCGTAGTCGAATTGCAAGGCGTTCTCGAAAATCTCGCGATCATCGTGCATGCTGCAATTCGGTTTCGCAGAGCTCAGCGTTGTCGAAAAAGCCCCAATGATGGAGACGCGTTGGGGTTTCAAATGACAGTCATCTCAACTCAGCCCGGAATGATTGTCGAGAAGATCGGATAAACGGCCTAAAGAGTTTTTTTATGGTATTTGTCAATATAGCCACTCAGAGCAGAGTCGTAGAATTCGTAGTGGTGTTGATGTCGTATTGTGGTTTTCTGTGGCCCCCCCAGCGTGGCAGCGCAAGCTGCATCCTGGTTCCCCACAAAACACCGCGAAAGCGAGGTGAAAGTCAAGTTGGGCCAGACGTGCCTCAAGTTCAGCTGTCTTAAGTAGTTCAGTCGTCAAACACGGGACGATTGGCCTGTGCTTACTCAAGCATCGACATTCCGGACGGCGAGAGCGAGTCTCACAAACCCTGGAGTCTTAGGTGGCCTCGTTAGAAAATATCTGGACAGCTTAATTATAGTTACTCCTGTGTGTAAGCGTACGAAGGCATCTTAATCGTTCGATTCGTTAGATACAACAAGTCCAAGTACTTAGTTACTGGGCGAACGCCATCGATGGCAACAATGCGAGAAATAAAGTTGAGACGGAAAAGAAGTGCCGATGGAGAATTCCAGATCCAGAATCAATCAAATATCAATATGTCCGGAAAGACGTGACGGGAGAAAAGAGGGTCATGGACAATTGAGGCGTTCTTTTTCCTCCGCAGCTATGGATAGTTGCACCGCATCTGATGGGGAAGCGAAGCATTGGTAGGAGCTCGGGGCCAATTGACAACGTTCAAGGTCACGCTGGTTCTCGAAACCGAGCTTCCAATCTGTTTTGAGGTAAAGTTTGCCAGATTTTCCATGCTATCAAGGGCCCCTTGATTGGTCTTTGCCGGTATTTACAACCCTAGTGCCGATCTGATGCCCAGTTGTCCCCCACTCTCTGTCGGAATGGGTGACATCGACTGGACGGATGGGTTCACGTAGATTGGATGGGTGGCTTGGCTTCAGATAAAATTCTCCGCTAGTTCACCATAGGGCAGATCGTTGCAAGGCTTGGGGGCAAGGCAGACAGGTGCGAGCAGACAACTGGCAGTGAAACGCCTTGTTGCACTCAGTCACCATCTTTTGCACTCACAAGATAGCAGATCCTTGGTCTGTTCTAGGTCCATCCTAGCCTTGAGAGCCGGATAGAGCCTGCCGGCAATCGTTCATTGGATCCCCGCCTGTGTCAAAGACCAAATGCTCCACTCGGGGTTACCCGCGCTGCGTAACGGCGCAGGGGCGTTAATTTGGGTTTGAATCGGTCTCGGTCTCGGTATCGCAGTATAGAGTGGGAGAGTTCCATCGACCGGCTGTGCAACAGTGCAATACACCAAACACGAATGATTTGGCTGTCAATCGTTGCAGTGATCTACCAGTATTGTGCGGCCTGATCTGGTTTTAGACTAAAACGTCGTCATGACAAATGACTCGGCCTCAACATAGGGGTTTACTTTAATAGTCCATCAACGACGCAAGATCATGGTTAAATCAGCCGACAATTCAGCATCATCTCGAGCCAAGTTGACAACAACAGCATCTTCATCGAATAAGATACCCAAGAGCGCAACTTGCCAATCTTGAAATCACATCATTTACGCAAAGTCAATCTTCAATTGCCCGATTTGGATTCGACACCGAACGCGCCAATCACGATTCGCCAACTTGCCATTAACGGAAATCCGTCAACATGGCCGAAGCCGCAGCACACAACTTCCCTCCCGTCTCTAGCGAGGTCGTCAACCTGGCGATTGCGGAGCTAGTTCTCTATGGCCTCATGTTCCCTCCCGCAGTATGGATCACTTGGAAGCACGGAAAGAAGGGCATGGTTTGCTGGCCTATCTTTGTCTCTCACTTCGGAATGAGATTCATTGCCGATATCTACCAAGTCATCAAACGAGACGAGCCATTGCTTCCAAACCAGTTCAACATTATGACTAGCGCCGGTAGTTTGGCTTGCCTGTCACTGACCTTGATTGGTATTGTTTACGAGGCGTAAGGCAATCCGTGAATATCTTGGGTCGATAAAAGAGACTGACTCACGTGTGTTCTATAGCAACATCATCCTGCCCGGGTCACCGAAGCGATGGACCGAGAAGATCATTTTGGGCGTCACTCATCTCATGAACACTGCGGGTATCGGCATGGCAACCTACGGAGGATCCCCGAGCCACGAAGGCGGCCTTATCAACAACAGCTTGAACCAAATCGGTAACTGCTTGGAGCTCTTCGTCATGTTCGCCGTCTGCGCCTGGCTGTGGCCCACCTACAAGAAGATTCGATCCTCGTCCAGCCCCAACTGTCGTCCCGCGATGCTCATGATCCGCGCTGCTGTCGTCGGCTTGCCGTTCCAGCTGATTCACCTGGCTTACACCACGACCTACGCCTTCAACCAGATCTCCAGCCTCGACCCTATCATGGGATCTTTCGCAACGAAGCTTGTCCTGATTTTCGGCACATACCTCGGTGTCACCATCGCCATGCTCGCAGGAGGCTGGCTCGGCATGAGCGCCGACATGCCCAAGGCCGTGCAGGTAGAACTCACCCCTACCGATGTCGAAGGCAACAACAATCTTGTGCGTGACGACATTCCTTTGACCCGGGACTGGAGCAGAGACGACATTGCCAGAGCGAAGCAGGGCTTCGTCTAAAGCATCAAAAGCTTGGCGTTCGTCGTTTCCTTTGGACTTTTTCTGAGAGATTATTTTCCATTGCATTGCGTAGCGAAAGAAAACGAACCAACGGGTCAGGAGACTGACGAATTTTCGGGCCTTAGGAAGAAGAAGATTCAGCTCAGACCGGAAGATTCCGACTTGGAGGACGAACCCGATCGAGGAAGGGAGCTAGGGCCTGGGAGACTTCTATCAACGACAACAGGGATTAGTGCTTTGAGGCAGGACGTGCAGGACACGGAGAACTGCACTCGAGTGCCGGATAGGTCTGGTTTTGGCTTTGGTATTTGGCTTGGGTGGTGGAATTTCCAGACAATTTCTTTCCCGGTTGATTCTAAGTTTGATGGTCTTCTATCTCGCTTTCCCTTCCGCATATAGAGTGTATCATAAGTCTTTTTCTTAGCGTCTCAACTGCTCAATTCGATTTCAACGGTATGATTTTATTGGAACTTTGAAATTCCTGTCACTTGGAGACAATAACGCGTACATTGAAGTTCCGATTCGCCGAGAAAGACGCAAGTGTACGATAATAGATAAAGAATATTCCTCCGAAAAAGAGAGGCATGTTTTTCGACATTGCGAAACGCGGAAACGCACCTGCGTCAAGGATTGCCAAAGTAGTTGTGATCAGCGTCATTGCAATCAAAGACAATATCCCAAGGACGTTTCGTATTCGAGGCCCGTTACAGAAGATGGTTTACGATTCCACAGAGGTGTATGAGCAAAGGGGAAGACGCCTTAACTTCGTTCTCTTTGCACACAACAAGGACTAAGAACAAGCCTTAATTTAAGCAGGCTTCCTTCTTCTATGCATGCAGACAAGGTAGGTAGAGGGTAGTTTGAATGCCACGGCTCAGCGCGCAGCTAAGTCAAGTAAAAGGCTCGATCGGCCCAACCAGGACTGTAGGAAGGCCAACTACTGTCTCATTTCCATAGATAATATTTTAGAAGAGTGTGGAGTCTTGATATTCTGTCCTTGATTCAAGATTCCTGCCAAAATCGTATGCTGGGACTTATAGTTACACATTAGTCTTGTAAGCAGTTTGATACCGGTATATTTGCGATGGCTCTTGCGCGTCTTTGACTATAGGCAGTATTATTTAGAGACCCCGCCTCTGATCCCCACTTAACCCCTTCACCTTGTTTTCCAAGTCACCCTGCTATCAAACACAAAGCACTCTGGTTATGTGTACCATCTAGTCTTGTCTTATTCGCACGGGCTCTTCTGGGAGTATCTTCTTCCCTGCCACCTTAAATGAAATGAGCCATAGAAGAAGAATGACAGCAAACTGTGAAAGAAGCATGTAAGGAAACACATGAAGCCCTGCCACTTGTGTGATAACGCCGAGCATATATGGAAGTATGGCGCCGCCGACTTGGCCGAGGGAAGCAACAAACGAAACCGCACCAACATGCAGCTCTTTTGGTAGGTAATGAACAAACTCGACGATGCAAGAGGGGAACAGCGGGCCCATGACGAAGCCGAGCAGCGCCATCGAAAGTACCGAGACCCACAGAACCTGCACTATCATGAAAAGCATCACGATGGCGGGAGCGAGCGCCAAGTAGATGATGACTGCCCGTTTTGGGGTCAATTTCTCCGTGACTGCACCCAAAGCCAGTCGTCCAACCGCCATACCTGCCCAGAAGCCAGAGGAGCATATACTGGATGCGTAAGTGCTGGTGTGGCGGACGCGGAGCATGAAAGTGACAACCCAGCCGGAAACAGTGCACTCAGTGCCTACGTATGCCAGAAGGTAAGCGGCGTATATCCAGGTCGCGCTGTATCGAAAGATGGCTCGTTGGTCAACCCCATCTTCAGTGTTTCCCTGCTTCTTCTTTTTTTCGTGGTACATCGCGGCAGTCTCGTGTCTGAACGCCAGTGGCAGAAAGACCACTTCTGCAGTAGATGCAATAGCCTTAAAAATGTTAGTAACCAACCAAGAAAGGACTCAAGTCTTGCCCAAGTCTACTTGATAGAAACTCACCAACACATAGAACCACTGGTACCACTGTCCGTTGTTTGCAGACAACATAATCCCTGCTAGGTAGGGGCAAGTCGCAGCTCCAATCGAGAATGAGCCATGCAAGAGACCCGATAGGGTATTCGCGTTGTTCAGTGCAGCGACCCAAGCACACCAGGATCCATCGACTATGCCAACTCCGAAAGAACCAACAGTGACTCCCAGAAGCAATACCGGGAAAGGTGGATGGAAGGAGCCTACTGCGGCGTAGACCAGATGGCACGCGGGGCCTACGAAAGCAATTCCGCGTTGCCCGAGTTTCTCATGGATGCGACTATTGAGAAGAGATGCCAAGCAGTAGCCGACTGGTCCAACGAGAAAAATGGCAGAGACTTGAATGTCGTTGAGCTGATAATATGTTTGCTGGTGCGGGAGTGTAACTCCAATTGTAGCCACGAAGAGGCCCGCGACTACGAAGGAGTAGGCTGCCGCGGCAAGTTTCAATGCGATGGCTTCTCGGTCTTGTCCGCTGATAAATTCATGTGTCCTGGGCTCGATTATTGAATCTGCACTTCCAGTGCCAAGCAACCGTTCTGATTCTGTTGCACCATTGAATTCTGATGGTATCGTGTTGGGTGCCATACTTGGAGGTGTTAGGGTCACCATGAACGAAAATTGGCTGCTATGTTGCTTCCTTAGACTACCTTATGACATTGGGGTAAGTTAATGAGTTGGAATGGAGGGTGTCAGTGATTATTAACGGTTTCAGGGCTTGAGAGCTGAGTCGGCAAAGCTTCGGATGATCGTCTAGACGTTGCCTTTTTAGGAACATGTTCCAACTTTGTTACTTTTGCTTGCGCTTCGTAACAAGGTTCACTGATGGAGTGTTGGCGGTTGTGTCTTGTGCTCAGACCAAATCTCATAGCTTCGATCTGACCCGATGATTAGCCTTATTGTTCTACCGCAGACCTCGTTTGGAACAAGCATCATGTAGTCATGTCAATTGAGTCTGTCCACTTGACATAAGATGGGCCAATAAACTTTCTCTTGCTCAAAGGCAAGTGCGGTCTTATAGCTAGGTAACGCCTAGATTCCTGAGTGAGAGTACGTATCATCACTTTTTTTTCACCTCAGAGAGAGAGAGAGATAGAAAGACAGAAAGACAGAAAGGGAAAACGTCATGTTCGATTTCCTGAATTGTATCAGTTCGGCGCCGATTATTCATACTCCCGGCGAGTCCAACGGATGAGCCCAGGTTGAACCGGGCGCGCAAACATAGATGTGTGATCCGTCGGCGGCACGATGCCTGTTCTTCCATCCATAGTGCCCAATTTGAAGTTGCGCACGATAGTGCCGACAATGACACCTAGATTCAAGTATGCAAATTTCTCGCCAATGCAGCGGTGTCGCCCCGCCCCGAACGGGATGTAAGGACTCCTGGTACCCTTGGAAACTGCACCATAGCCGTAGTCTACAACATCGTTGGCATCAACGATGTCCTCACTAGGCTGGGGCTCATCCCATCGATGAGGATTCCAAGCCTTTGCGTCCAGGAAATAGTCGTCGCTTATGGCAGTTACCATTGGCGAGGCCAGCAACACTTTGTCAGTGCCGACCACGTAAGGACTTCCGGGGATGGTCAGAGGGTTCATAACCTTGCGAAGAATGGAATGTATGGAGCCATGTAGGCGAAGGGTCTCCTTCACGACGTTGTGTAAAAGCGGCAGCTTGTCTAGGTCGGAATACTGCATTGGTGAGAGTAGTCGTTTGTCTCCATGGCCAAGATTCTGTATTTGCTCTTGATAGAGCTCTTCTGCAATGTCGGGATGCGCGGCTAAACGATGCATGATCCATGCACTTGCCGAGGACGACGAGTGTTGACCTCCCATGAGTAGTGTGATCATCATGCACGCAACCTCTTTATCGGGCACCGGCGTTCCATCTTTGTAGTTCGAGTTCATGAGATTCCAGAGCATGTCGTACTCGTCGTCGGACTCGAGACCATGTTTACGACGTTGAATGATGATATCCTCGTAGACGTCTCGCATCTTATTATGGGCAACATCGCGACGGCGATTTCGGGGTAGAGGTAACCAAGGGAAGAGAAAGTTGATTGGGGTGAAGCCCTGGATGGCCCCGCTATCAGTATCATCCTTGCATCTTGAGAAGCCATATATGGATTGGGGCACGGAATAGGGGGCACCTACCATGTCGAGGTCATGGTACAATCCCGCAAACTCAGCCGTCAGCTTTTGCCTGACTTCTTCTCCTTGCAATGAGCGCGCTGCTGTGAACAGCGTGATCTCAGACATGGCGGTAGAAATATCAACAACACCCGACGACCCCTTCCATGCAGGGCTCATCTTGATGTAATCCACCACTTCCTTCTCAATTAACGGGACGTGAGATTCCAGAGCCTTTTGTGTCAGTCCAAACTTGACGAACTTCTTCTGCTCCATGAGCTTTGAGTTAGGGCAGTCGTAAATAACATCTTTCCCAAATACGGGAATTGTGAGGGGGCCGTAAATTTCTTCGGCGTTGATGTCCTGTAGCTTTCCATTGAGAATGAAGTCGTTGCCTTCGATCCCCAGATAACACGTCATTTTCCTCCCAAAAAGGGTGAAAGTGAAGACATCACCGTACTCACCAAATGTTAGCGAAATGAACGTCGAGAGCTCATACATATCCTGCGCGGGACTCTGATAGAACATACCTGAGCACGGTACTTGACGAAGAACGCTACGGGATCCATGCCATAGGAAATAGCATTGCCAATGTAGGGAATCCAATGAAACACAGCTGGCGGTTCGCTCTTCCCGTGAAAAAACGTCTGACGGCAGGCATTGACCAGAACCGAGACGATTAACCCGATGAAGCCATAAAAGGCAATGGTGGCCAAACTCGATAGGTCTACGGCCTTGAAAGAGTCTGCCATTTTCAGCGATTGGACTTTGTCGATATTTTGCAGAATGATTAAAAAGGTTTGTCGGTAAGAAGTGGACGAGGACTGTGTCTGGACTAACACAAAACATTGCGATAGCTTGGTCAGGCAAGACCACGAGATTTCTTTTCAACTCGTACTTGTGTCGGTAGTAGGCAATGGCAATTACCCAAAACTCCGTCGGTGATTTGGAGCCAAGTCCAGCAACCTGACAACACCCAATGCCTCTCGAATTCGTATTCGTCTGGACCTACAGGCATTCGACGTGTTAGTAACGGCGATGTCCACATCGAGTTTCCTGCTTTCATTGATGACCCTGGAGCTCAAAGGTGGTTCGTATTCGTATTAGGTACGTACCCACCTCCATTAAGCCGTAGGCGCTGCTGATTTCAGTTGAGACCAGTGGGCCTAGGGATAAGCACTAGAGAATCACTGTGGTCTCCTAGAACATCTTTATTGACGAATGCACAATCTCAACGTTTCATAAAGCTTGTGCGACTACGGTGCGGTTCAGTCGCCATTACTCAGATCTTGCTCCCTAAGGTAAGGTATTAACTTGGAGCAGGTTGGATCTCATGCAAGTCGGATCTTGGTCTACCCATATCCACTTCTCTAGTGTTTACCCTTACATGCATGTTTTACTTAGAATACATGATGGATAAGGATTCAAATGCAAGTCTCTCTTGGGGTATTAGACTTGTTGCACTTCAAGTTTCTCTACTCTTTCTGGCAGTACTTCCAATACCGGATGACGCTCGCTGCACGGATCTGTCGACCCCATTTGATCATGGCGAAGTATGACGAGATCTGCGCAAGAGCAGCAAACGCAGCAACTAGAAACGCGTTTTGATACCCCATGTTTTCAACCCAAGGGGTTATGCTGATGCCAGTTAGCCAGATACACCCCTTGCCAACAGATTAATGGCGACTTACCCATAGGAAACAGCAAAAGACATTGTGTTGCGGATCAGGATGACGGTGACAATGGCATCTTCGCCCAGCTCCTTGTAGCAGTCAATGCAGTAGCTGATCGAAAGCTGACTGCCAGCAGTAATGGCTGCGCCGAAGACCCCCATTGCAAAGATAAGGCCAAACCAGTGGACTTCGTGCGCAGCCCCGACGCCCCAGAGGAGAAGAGCGCCTGGGATGCAGATCAACAGTGCTGTGAAGAGCCACAATCGAAACTCAGGTTCCATTATTCCGTTGTTACGGCGTGCCTTCCATATGACGAACTTGTCGCCAAAGAGGCCTGAGTATACTGTCCTAAAGAAACGCATTAGAGACTATACCATAGCGAGAGAGACAGGTTAACGTTACTTACCCAATGCCGACGCCGATGAAACATGATATGTATGACAATCCAACAATGCTTGATCTGAAATTGTAAGGCGAGCTCGATAAAATCAACGATGCAGTACCATTCAAGACATTGAAATAACAAACAACAGCTCCATACATGAAGCCTGCGAATACGATTGATGGGAATTGGAAGTAAAGGAATGGTCTGACCACCATCTCTACAAGTGAGGCGTGATGATTGATGTCCTGTTTTCTGAACATTTTGAGCTTGTCAAGGTATGACTTCTTTGTCATAGTTGGTTCGGGGCTGGGAGGCGTCTGCACAGGCGCTACTCGATCTGAGTCGGATGGGTCTTTGGAGCCCTTCTCAAGTGCTGATGGTGTGTAGTCCACTTGGTAGGGTTCAGCCGTCAACACGTCCACACGCTGATAATTGGTCTCTTCCATGAAGAAGAAACAGATGACAAAGCCAGCTCCGCAGAAGATAGCACACCAGTACTGGATTTCGGAGTCAGCCATAGGAGCGAATGCAACCTCCGGATTCGAAGACTCACCAAGACCCATTCCCAACCTTGGCCGTCATTGACGAATCCGGCAATGACTGGTGCAAGAAAATTGCTTCCCACTAAGAACAAGGCATAGAAGCCCATGTAAGTGCCTCTCTCGTGTGTGAACCACTTTTTGCATGGTCAGCTGAGATACAAAAGGTAAGAATACTAAGATAGGTATCTAAAGTATATATGAACGCTTCACGTACCACATCAGCAATGGATATCTCGCACAGAGATTCTATGGGGGCACCGATGGCTCCCTGCAATACTTTATTCGCAATCCAATTACTGCCCGTGGTGGCATATGGAGCCCACAACATGATGGCCTAGGTTGCCTAGTGTCAGGTCGAAGACTAGCATCAGCCGACATTGTGTGAGAACTGACCATGCTTCCCAGCAGAGTAAACAAGTATACTGGACGTTTGCCAAATTTCTGGGCAAGCGGCTGCCATATCAGACAGCCCCAGCCAAATGCCAGAAACATATAGCCGGTTCCAGAGTTCAAGTCTGCGAGAGTCAGACCGGTCGCGGTGGATATCGGTACAAGGACAGAGTAGATCGCAGCTGATGCAATGCCAACGGCGAGGCAGTAACTGCAGGAAAATGTCGTCTGATTAGCTCCAAGGAGTGCAAAAGAGTCGCTGGATGGAGTCGACTTACACGCAGATGCATGCTAGGAGCTGATATTTTCTGCGGGAACTCCAATTCAAAGGGTCGTCCGGGTCATTGGATGGCGTTGGAATTAGAACGATGTCTTTCCCATTGCCCTCGGCGTGCCGTGAGGCCATCGTACCCTCAAGATCTACCAAATGGACCGTTCCAGGGATGAAGCCCGGCGGCGGGGCCGTTCCGACCGTGTCAGAGCCCATGGTCGATGTTGAAAGAGAGGTTTGTGGAAAAGTTTGCGTGGTCCGTGAGGCATGGAGTAAACTAAAGGGTTCCGAGAAGGGAGTAAACGTAGGTAATATGTAGAAGAGACAATCGACTCTATCTATCTTCTGCTCAGATATTGATAACACTGATGAAAATGAAGCTGAGAAGTAATTCCGGAACGGGTGATATCAGACTTTGACCACATGTTCCAAGTTTCATTGTGAGAAGATAAACATCTTCTTGATAAAGCACATGGGAAGCATGGTAGCAACTAAAGGGACCATGGTCGACGCGGCGGCCGCAACTTTCTTGAGTGGAGCCAATCATGTGTAATTACGAACTTATCTCATATGGGTCGGCCCTTGAGTCTGGGGTAATCTCCACCATATGGGTGACTTGACGATGGGGTAGATGGACTTGATCTCTGCGCGCCCAGCAATTTTGCTGCGCCCTGCACTGTCGTAGTTACACTGTTACAGGGTTGCAGATGCACCAAATGATGAGTGTGAGTGTGAGGATAAATTCTGCCTCCTTTGTCTGCTACCTTGACAACGACCAGCAGATTATGACATGCATCAAACTGGTGTGGATAAGAAAATAGCCAATGACTGAGAATTACGAGAGTTCGGCACCGGCTGATTGCTGTTAAATGCCGTGAACCAGCCAATCACTTGGATTTGCGAGGGATTGAGAGGAGCCAACTCTGATAAGGCACGGATCAAGCCCGTCCTCTTGTTGGGGTGATAATCTGATCCTTGAGGAGACACCAGCGACAACAAAAGAATTTGCCTGATGCGACAGCAATAGAATGTCACCAGATCGGCAGAGCATGCCGAGGGGGTACTCCAACTGCGGTATCTCAAGAGGAGGTTGTGGCGCCAAGTCCTGTCTACTAGTACCTGTTTTGGCCATATATCCATCTTAGGCCGAGGGAGACAAAGCTGCATTGATGAGGGGAATCCATTTCCAGACTCCAACAGATTATGTACGCTGTCGTCACAACCAGCGGCGATAAGTCATCGGTCGATGTGCATGTAAAGTTGGATAAGTTCCAATCTTCAGTCAATGGGGAACGGTCGGGTTGCTGATTACCCCTCCCTCCCTTCCTTAGAATAGGAACATTGATAAAGACATTATCCCAATCATATCTGACGTCTGGTGGTTGTTTCCCCTAGTACACCCTCTTTCGCCATCATCAACTTCCATCATTTCGTCCCAGTATCTTCTCCAGTGCATCATCCATCATGGGCTCACTTGCACCAGCTCGGTGGGAACTTAAGGCCGATAAGTTGAGGAAGATCCTCAAAGACTCTCTCAATCCGAAATGGCTCTTGGCCCCTGAAGACCTGCCTCCTCCAGGCCAGCTGAACATCTCCAAGTTCATCGACACATGCAAACTGTTGACCCCACAGGAGCAGGAGATCACGGCATGTAGCGGCACCGAGCTAGTTAGCCGGATGGCCGCTGGCAAGCTTACCGCCGTTGAGACAGTGACAGCGTTTCTCAAGCGCGCCCATGTGGCTCATCAGCTGACCAACTTTGCGACCGAGTTCTTGGTAGACGACTCTTTAGCTGCTGCTGCAAAGCTCGATGCGAAATTTCAGGAGACTGGAAAGATCGTTGGACCGCTGCATGGTCTGCCGATTTCTATCAAAGAGCATATCGGACTCAAAGGGAAGATTGTGCATTCTGCCTACGTGGCTTGGGCGGACAATATTGCCCAAGAAGACGCTCTTGTTCTTCGACTGGCTGCGAAGGCGGGTGCTGTCTTCCATGTCCGCACCAATGTACCACAGAGTTGCATGGTGAGCCACGTCGTTCATGATATTCCGAGACAACCAGACTGACTGGTCGTACTACAGCACCTGGACTGCAGCAATCCCATTTACGGCACAACAGTCAACCCTTACAATCGCAACCTCACATCGGGCGGCTCTAGTGGCGGTGAAGGAGCGTGCCTCGGACTTCGTGGCTCTGTCTTGGGACTCGGCACAGATATCGGGGGTTCCGTTCGTGGACCGGCGGCCTTTTGCGGCTGTTATGGCCTTCGTACAACGGCTCTGCGCAATCCCTACAAGGGCATTTGCCTGCCAGGCCTAGGTCAAGAGAGCATCAAGTGTATCCTGGGCCCCTTGGCGAACAGCATCTCAGATATTCAGCTCTTTGAAGATGTTGTACTTAACCAAGAGCCCTGGGACGAAGAGACCTCTCTGGTTCCTCTGCCCTGGAAGAAGATGGAGCCATATCAACCAGGCCAATTTACTGTTGGTGTTATTTGGGATGATGGGTAGGTGATTTGACCCATGTCTTTGAATTGGCACTGATACTAGTTATTCAGAATGGTTCATCCTCATCCTCCAGTAATCCGTGGCCTCAAGCACGCTGTCGACAAGCTTAAGGCAGCTGGGGTCAAAGTTGTAGACTTTGAGCCATACAAGCATAGCGAAGGGGCCGAGATAATTGAGCTTCTCTATTTCCCAGATGCAGCCGAGACACAGAAGGAGGTCCTTGCAGAAGGAGGTGAGCCGGTAGCACCACTTACGGAGTGGGCATTCCAGTACTCAAAGCCGGAGCCGCTCACCATCAGAGAGAACTGGGAACTCAACTTACGAAGGGAAGCTTTCCGTGAAGAGTAAGGACTATCATATTCGTTATCTTGGCTTATAGCTGATACCGTTGGCTTTCAGGTATCATAAGGTGATGAAAGATCGCGGCGTGGATTTCATCCTCTGCCCCGCCTATGTCGGCGTTGCCGCGAAGTGCGGCACTCCTCAATACTGGCATTACACGACCATCTGGAATATTCTGGATCAACCAAGTATCACTTTCCCAACTGGGCTTTATGCCGATCCTACGGTTGACGTAGTTGATGCCGATTACAAGCCTCGCTCAGCAACCGATGAGAGGGAGTACAAGAAATGTAAGACTATAACACGCCCTGTGGCTATACTTTCTCGGTTGAGCTATTGATATTTACCAAAACTTAGATATTCCCGAAGCATTTGTAGATGCCCCGGTTGCCTTACAGCTCGCCGGCAAACACTTCCGGGATGAGGAGACAGTGGCCGCAGCAGATTTAGTGACGAAGATCATCCAAAATTGAGGTAACCTTGGTTGGCCCTTCATTTTGCAATGAATCCCTGTTTGGATGATTTGGAGTTACCGTTGAATAATTAAATGATTTTGAATCATTGCCGACCACATATATTCCAATCATCAAGAGAACATAAGTCCCTTTATAGGTAGATTGCTCAATTTGGACCCTCGCAGCGTAGCTCAGGACTAGATTTCTGAGCCAAAGTTTGCAACGCCACCATGATAATACGAACCCATCACGACGGCCAATCAATACTCGAAGTCATCCTCCAGATTGCAGACTTGACAAGTGAGCCAGAATCCTGGCCCCTCCAAGACGTCAATCTGAACGGACAACACGCATTTGTGCGAAAGAATATGTTTTTCATTGAGCAACTGCCTGGGGTGAATGCCTTATATACCACAGACGAACTCAAAGGGTGTGCAAGGTTCTAGGTTGTAGACATGTGCGACCAACTTAACCCCGCAAAGGACTGGGAGCTACTCCAAGCGACACGATAAGCCGACCGACCCACCAAGAATGTTAGGAAGATTTTCATGCGGGGTTGTACATCCGACCTCCCATGATAAGACATGCCGATCCTGCGCAATCTCTTTCGTCGGGTCTTTGGAGTAGCCTGGCTTCGGGGCTGGCGTATATGCTTCGTCATTGCCGATTGCTGATTTCAGCGCATCAATACATGTACATTATACATGCGTCAAAATGCCCAAAGCCAAATTGCGAACGAAGACCGGGTGCTCTACTTGTAAGTTCATCCTGTTCACCTATCGGACGTCGGTAACGTTGCTGATACAGAACAGGTAGGAAGAGAAGAGTGAAATGTGGCGAGGAGAAACCGGTATGTCGCGCCTGCGTTGCTTCAGGACGCAGTTGCATGTGGCCATCCTCCGACGACATGTATGACAGACGTCACCGATCTCGTCGATCTTTCTCTGATGATAGGACGTTACCTTCGCCGTCCTCTTGTAGCGAGGAATCCACCATCTCTCTCGAGTTGAGAGAGCTGCCGGACCTTGAACAGGAACTGAGCCACCACTATCTTAACGTATTTCTCTCGGTGCTCTTACTCCCCACAGTGAGGGAAAGTGACCTGGAAGGCTATGGGTCGCAGGTAATGAGCATGATGCTTCGCTCAGAAAGCGTAAAATGCGCTGTCCTTGCTGCGTGTGCTTCAAACAAGTACATGCTTTTGAGGTCAAGAAAGTATCACGATGCAGCACTGGGGTACTACTTCCGCGCCGTGGAACTGGTCAACCGTGCTCTCCATGACTTGGGTGCATCCGCCAAGGGGCCGGACGATCCCCTGCTGACCACCGTTGTGTATCTTTACTTGTACGATGTAAGTTCCCCGTTGTTTTTGAGTCTCAAATTCCATCCCAGTCTCATTATTTCGAAAGATGTGGGGGCCGCCCGACGAGACTTTAGACGCGAGGAAGCATGTCGACGGCGCTATGAACCTGCTCAAGCTCAGATACGAAGACACTTACTCACCCATGTCAATGTCGAGGCCTCTACACCGAATCAATACCGAGAGCGTGCTTTATCAGGCATTCCTGCTTGCAATGCGAAAGCCATTCGCGCCCAACTTCCATGTGGATGAACAATTTCTCGATCGATCCGAACATGTTCTCAACACAAGGAAACTTATCGACATATTATCCGAAGGCGATAGCCCCGTACTGGGCTTACCACTGCCGTTATACCGTCTAATAACGGACCTCATTGACTTCCTCAACTCACCCAAGCACCCGAGTGAAGCGTTCGTGATTCGGATGAGAGAGGAGATAGAAACATGGGAAGGCCTCGTACTGGTAGACGATGGCGCAGCCAGATACCCTTCGTCTATGACGAGCTTCCACAAAGACGCTGTTACTCTCTTCGTTTTGGGCGCTTCGCTGCTCCTAGACTACGTCGCAGAGTCTTCATTCTCTAACCACATGTCAACGCCCCAGGTTTCAAGGAATACGCAGGACAGATGGAACCCACAACAGCAAGCATTAAGTGCACCCAGGTGGCAAGTGCAGCGAGCCTTTGAGATTCTTCGTCGACCAGCCGCTTATGAAACGTGGACTCGGTGCTTCTTGGGTGCTTGGCCGATGTTGATACTTGGGTACTCCGTTACCTCATCTGAGGATATCTCGTTGATACGAGGTGTTCTGACGCAAATGGTAGAGCGTATGGGGTATGGGGAAATTCAAAGGATTCTCGATGATCTGGAAGGAGTCTGGACTATGCGCGCTGATTGTCGGAACCCAGGTGGCGAGATTCTGAGAGAGTCTTTGGTGACAGGTGCTATTGAGAGGACTTGTTCGTTGTGATGAAGGGATGTGGGCGAACGCCTCCGTATCCAACTTACAACACGAGAAGGTGGGAGATTGTTGGGGGATAGTCGCTCAAGTATACAGCGCTCATGATATTTTTCCATTCTATGGTACTAATTAAACAACAATCGGCGACGAGCATCGTGGTTGCACCGCAACTCAGTGACTGAGGCCTTTAGCATGCGCTTTGGCAACATGGCGCCAGTACCTCTTTGCACTCTTCTCTCTGATAGTTCTACCATACTTGGTCATGACAAAGATACTAGCATTCCAGACGAATCCAATCGCGGCAACAATGATGTAGGTATCGCGATATCCCATGTGATTCAACCAAGGAGTGATTCCATAGTTGATTGCAAACGACATGGTGTTGCGGATGATGACGCATGTGGTAATCATGTCACCGCTAAGCTGCGGATACGACGCGATAGCATATCCGAGGGATCCTGCCACGGCGAGGGCGTTGTTGATGGCGAGGGTGAACTGGGAGATTACGAGACCCATCCAGTGAATATGGTAGGTCACACCCAGACCGTACAGGAGCATGCTGAACGGGACCAGGAACATTGATGCGGAGAAGAGCCAGAGGGAGTGTTCCGACTCGGAGATTCCATTGTTGCGTCGGGCGAGGCGGATCGTGAGCAGCCGACCAACCTTGCCGCAGTAATAGCCTCTGTCAAGACGCGTAAGTCAATGATCTCTTTTATCTTGGGAAGTATGCAGGGAACACTTACCCAACCATAGTACCAAGTAAGCCTCCGGCATAGGCCGCTGCTACACCGGCAGTAGAGAAGCCGTACATGGTGGTGTAGACAGTGCCAGCGGTAGCATTCTGCACACCCGACCATACCAAGTTGTTGGCACCGTACATCAGGCTAAGCAAAAGTTAACTTCTGGATTCAACTTATTGTAGAAGCAAGTTCTCACCCTGCGTAGACGACTGAGGGGTATGTGAAGCCTCTAAGTCCACCTAGTGCGATATCCAACATGCGATTGGGCCTAGGCTTGTCCTTGACACTGAGCTTTTGGATATAAGTCTTGCGAGGATAGATCATCTGTCCGGTTTCGGTATCAATAGGTTTGGCATTTGTCAAGTTTTTCTCGCCCGCTTTATCAGAAGACTTCTCGTCCGCATCGCTTCCGTTGTGTTGCTCTTGAGCTCCGGCCGCATGGCCTAAGGATGTTCTGTCCTCGACAAGCCTCGCAGGACGATCATAATTGGTCTCCTCCATGAAAAGGAAGCAGTAGACGAGAGCAATGCCGTTGAAAATAGAACACCACCACTTTGAAAGGCGAAAGTTAGCCAGGTGCGCCAGGTGCGTCAGGGAGGGGGGCGCGAGGCTGCAAGAGAACATGACTTACCAGAGTCCATTTCCAACCCATGCCCACGTTGATGAAGCCTGAAAGCATTGGGGCGAGCTTTCCCGTCATTGAGAGACCCCACCCGTAGAGTGCAAGGTATTTGGGGCGCTGGTGCGCGAACCACTGTTCGATTGTCAGTTGAGCACATTCATGGGGGCCTGCTTGGGTTCCTACTATATCTGTGATGGAAATTTCGCACAAAGATTCCACCGGAGCCCCAAATAGACCTAGTAGGATGCGATTAGCTAGATATGTGTGTTTCGTGGTGCACATCGGGGCGGTAGCAAGGATAATCTGGGAGCCGAGACATTAGGAATGATTCCACCTTGGACGCTGGGTTCGCTCGAAGGACTTACAATGTTGGCGATAAGAGACGCCAGGTACGCTGGTCGCTTCCCATATTGAAGCGCAAATGGTTGCCAGATCAGACAACCCCAGCCATAGAACAGAAACTAGAGCAAGAGTAACATGTCAGCATTGCACCGAAGTTGAGATTCGGACTCTCCTCACCATGATTCCCGTGCCATTGTTGATATCTGAAAGCGATAATCCAGTTGCCTTTCTGATGGGGGTAACGACAGAATAGACAGCACTACTCGGGATTGCGATCATGACGGTGTAAACCAAGACGCAAGATGTCGCAAGCCATTTTCGCTTCTTTGTCCAATTTAATGGGTCCTCTGGGTCTTCCGACGGGCGAGGAATGAGGACGATGTCCGCCTCATCGGATCCGGTAGCATGTTTGCTGATGACGGTGCCGTCCACGTCAATGAGTCTGGTGGTGCCAGGAGGGAGGCCATCGCCATTAGTCTGAGCGGGGTTTGCGTGAGCCATTCGGTTGCTGTCTGTCAACCCCAAAGAGACTCAAATGATGCGGCTGTGTCTATCTTTCAGACGTCCTGCGCAGATGGCAGCTGGCGTAGGAGGTATTTGAATCAGTAGAAGAGTGTTCTTGAATAGATGGGATCCATGTGCGACTTCAGCTACTTATCAGCATTACTCGTGGAAACGTTGACGCGGTATGGCAATCCCCAGGAACGGTTCAACCAAACTAGATGCATACATCAGCCACCCGGGTACGGCACTCAGCTATCTCGGTATGCAGCGAGTTACGGATTGCATTTATAACAGCCTGCGTTGGCCAAGGCGTCACTTTGCCGGGAATAATGATAAGACAACCAGGTTCTCAGTCTCGGACATTGCCATGGGCGTCCCGCACGAGATGACTGACAGTCGAACTGTGCCGAATGCTAGATAACGACGCCCGAGAGGCACGCGAACGTTGAACGCCACGCTTTAGGAGAGCCCTGGATAACGATAGCAGACATCTACCATGGATCCGCTTAAAGATATGCGCTTACATCTCCTCGTTCCTGGGTCGTCAACCGCCCGCATAGAGCGGAGCCCCCAAAAACAAGGGTGCGGGATGTTGCACTAGGATAGAGGCTTCAAGGCCCACCACTAGACCAAGTTGGCAGTTGACAGCGATAGGCCGACAGAGCTCAGTTTGGCGCTATCTGGGAATGGCAGATAGGGAAGACATTATCGCTTCAGATAAGGTAGGATGCCTCTTACAACGTGTACTCTAGAGGTGGGCAAATGATATTTGTGAAGTCAAGCAGCTGTTTTGTGCTATGTTTTCGTTTTTGTGGTCTTGCTTTGAAGTGCTGTGCAACGTGACCGCAACTTAGACAGCATCCCGACCCCAACCATTCCGAAGTTCGCCCACAATGGCAATCACCGCAATTCCGAAAGGCTGGCGGGAACTCGCACAAGTCTGCATCGACATCCAGCAAAAGTCAATACCCAAGCAATATGAACTGCCAAGCGGCCAAGTTCCTCCCAAAGATCGTCGAAATGTGCTTAATGTCCCAGCCGAGTCTGGAATTTTGACTACGGAGGAAATTCGGATGACTGAGCAAGATGCCTCAAGCTTGTTAGAAAAGTACAAGAGCGGCCAATGGACTGTGAAACAAGTTGTCACGGCTTTTCTAAAAAAGACAACCATCATTCAGCAATTGGTATGAATAATTCACATGGTATAGGACATAATATTCCTAGCTAACGGAGGTTTTCACGTGGCAGACCAACTTTGCCACCGAGATTCTAGCAGATGATGCTATGAAGAAGGCTGGGGAGCTTGATGCGCACCTCCAAAAAACAGGCCAGTTGGCCGGCCCTCTTCATGGCATCCCAATATCAGTCAAGGTTGATTTTTCCCTTCCCGTATGGAGACATCCGGTTGCTAACTCGCTTCTAAAAGGAACACATCGGTATGGGTGGCCATATCACTCACGCAGGGTTTGTATCAAAGATCACAAACATTCCGCTCGAAGACGCCCTTTCCATCCAGATTTTGAAAAAGGCTGGAGCAGTTATTCATGTTAGAACGAATCAACCTCAAAGTCTCATGGTGGGTATATCAGTCTTTTCTACTTATGACAATAAAGTTCGAGAGTGTGCAAATAAGCTAACATCCTTTCCTCCATAGCATCTGGACTGCAATAACAACATCACCGGGCTAACTAGAAATCCACACAACCTTCTTTGTTCGCCTGGAGGATCCTCCGGTGGCGAAGGAGTATCAGTCGGCGCAAAATGCTCAGTGATTGGCGTGGGCACAGATATCGGTGGCAGTATACGCATTCCTGCCGCCTTCAACGGTTGTTATGGACTTCGACCGACGGCTCTGCGCGTGCCAAACCTTGGAAACTTTGGTATCACATCTGGCCAAGAGAGCATCCGGGGTGTGGTTGGACCTTTGGGCCAGAGCGTTGATGATCTGGATCTGTTTATGAGTGCTGTTCTCGCAGCTGAACCGTGGGATACAGAGACCATGTTGGTTCCCGTGCCTTGGAGACCTGTCAATATCAGGAAAGAACTCACGGTGGGAATCATGTTTGATGATGGGTATGTCTATTTTTTCGTCTTCTGTTATCTTTGCCACTGACTTGAGCGGATTTAAGTTTCGTCAAGCCACATCCTCCCGTTCTGCGGGCTCTTAGTTCAGCTGCGGACAAATTGAAACAGGCAGGCGTGAAAGTGGTAGATTGGGAACCCTTTGACCACCAGCGCGGCTGGGAAATAGTGGTAAGTCGCCTTGTTTTTTTGTTCCTTCACCTAGGCTCTCTTTTCTTTTCTTCATTAGATAGGTTCTATGTGCAAGATTCACCTCGACTAACTAGAGTCAGTCCGCCCTGTACTTTCCTCAAGGGTCCAAGCCGTACCTCGACACATTTGCTGAAAGTGGCGAGCCGGTCCTCCCACTTACCGAGCATGCTTTTAGGTTCTCAAAAGACGAGCCTCTTACAGTCGCAGAGAACTGGGACCTCAATTACCGGAGAGAGGCATATCGGCGAGATTATCATGCTCTAATGAGATACAAAGGCGTGGATGTCATACTGTGTCCTGCATACGTTGGTGCGGGTGTGTTGCAAGGCGGCGCCGAGTACTGGAATTACACGGCCATTTGGAACGTGCTCGACCAACCAGCAGCCATCTTGCCGAGCGGACTAAAAGTTGACAAATCCATTGACGAGCCCGAAGAAGACTACACACCTCGGAATGAATATGATGCTAAAGAATGGAAGGCCTGTAAGTCAGCCCCCATAGCTCACTGGAGTTCGTTCATTTGTCGCGATTGCTGACGGTGTGATGTTGTGCAGATGACGCCGACCTTTTCCACGACATGCCTATTTGTTTACAGCTTGTCGGAAAGCACTTCCAAGATGAAGAAGTGTTACAGGCAACTAAGCTGGTTGACCGCATCTTGAAGGAATAGAGTTTCATCTTTTAGTAGATTAGACACAAGGAATTGTCCGGGGATCAGCGCACAATTAGACCTAGACGCTAGACTTTTCACTTGCTTCAGAGTCTTGAGTAGATAGACTTAAACGTTTCGCCATCACCAAATGCCTTCTTGGAGTATCTTGTCTAAGTACTTATGTGTACCTACACAAAAGGTTTCTAGGTTGTACCTTTCGAGGTGGCGGGAGTCTGGGGTAAATTACTTCGATCGAAACCGTGTCGCAAATGGTGAGGATTGTGTCGAGTCTCCACGCTCATGCCAGTAGACGTTTTGTGTGATATTTCAATCGGCCTTACAAGACGTCAAGTTCTATCACCGTGTACGTTGATACGGGAAGACCAATAGTGAGACTCCCTTTGTAGCCGACCAACAACTTGGTCTGGACTCTAAGGGGTAAGGAACCGCCGAGACAGACTAGAGTTCGGTGACTTCGTATTCGTTAGAGAGCCTGTTCATCGTCTACCTTTCTCGAATGCTTGGCTGCTTCGGTGCTGCATTCCGTAGATATGAAAGGGTAAGGATTGCGGGGTGCCTTCTCGAGATAACAACGCCCGCGGGCAATCGGCTGTATTATCCGATCAGGAGAAAATACCCTGCCGGGATAGATGCACCATGGCACCCTTAACCTTGCTCACGTCTCCTTGGGGTTGACTGAACTGGTGGGCGCAGCTTTGGGGGAGGGGTCGCCGTGTTGATAGGGCAATCCCAGGCCCCCCCGACAGTTCATTGTGGTCAAGCCCTGGCGTTGGCTACCTGAGCAATCGCAACTGAGCGGGGTCGTCGATCGCTGTCGGATGCCTATTCCAGAAGCCAACGGAGTGGCACAGCCCATGAGTTGGATCAACGTCCGGTATCGCGACCATCATGTCGCTTTCGTGTCTTTTTCTGAAAGATTGATACCGCTCTCTGTCTTAGAACACTTCCCTGTTGAATGCGACACTTGTGAAGCCATCCAGAGACGACATAGACTCTCACCAGCGCCTTTGGGGACGGTGATCAATCTTTGAAAAGCCAGCCCAATTCACCCTGGCCCGACCAGACACAAGCAACGTGCCCATTTCCAGGCAATCAAGATGACCAAACTCATCCAAACTGTCGACCTCTCGAACACGTCCTCGGCATACTACGCTCCAGCAACAATCACGCGTGCTGGTTCCTTAGTGCACGTATCAGGCTTGCCCGGCAACACCAAAGATGGCCAGGTGCCGTCAGACTACGACTCCCAAATCCACCTCGCACTGCTCAACTTACGCAAAGTAATCATAGCTGCCGGATCGACAGTATCAAACATTGCAAGCTTGACTCTCTACATTGTGGACTACGATGCCTCCAAGCGCCAACACGCCCGCCACGTTCAGCGGTTCCTGGGAACGCACCGCCCCGCAATGACGCTTGTTCCCGTACAAAAATTGGCGGTGCCGGGCTGGTTAATCGAGATCAACGCCGTGGTCGCTCGACCAGATGCACTTTCAGTTCCTCGAAGCCTCCCATCGGGGCAGGAGACTGTCGATGTTGTCATCATTGGTGCGGGATTGGCGGGTCTTTCTGCTGCTCATGAGGTCCGACGGGCTGGGCTAAGCTGCGTTGTCCTAGAGGCCCGAGATCGTGTAGGCGGCAAAACGTGGAGCCAACCGATGGAGGATGGCAGGGATAACGGGGTATTCGACCTCGGCGCGGCGTGGATCAACGACACGAACCAAAGCAGGATGTATGAACTTGCGAAGAGATATGGCGCCGAGTTGATCGAGCAGAACACCAAGGGTAATTGTGTTCTTCAAGATTTTGATGGCAAATGCAGTCCTTTCCCGTATGGGGAGCTGCCCAAGGTCAGTTTCAAATACACCCTGTCAGATATGACCATTCCTCACATGTTTGTCATGGAAATAGTTCAGCGAAACGACGCGTGATCATCTTGCCCAGATCAGAGACATGGCAGAAGCAGATTGCCAAGCCCTTGACGTTTTCAGACCAAGGGACACATCTCTCGACTCTCTCACATTCGAGGCCTACCTTAAATCCCGAGGTGCTGATAGTGTTGCTCTAGCCACAGCCACTGTGTGGACACGGGCCATGTTGGGTCAAGAGCCGAGAGACATCTCAGCACTGTACTTCCTGAACTATTGCAAGTCGGGCGGTGGACTGTTGCAGATGCGGTCGGATAGAAAAGATGGAGGACAGTATCTCCGAGTCCGGCAAGGCACGCAGCTCTTCTCTAGAGGGCTGGCCTCTTCATTGCCTGAAGGTGTCGTTCGTCTCTCTAGCCCCGTTCAGGCTGTTGTACAGAACGAGAATCGCTCCGTCAAAGTCGAAGCTGGCGGTAAGGTCTACTCTGCGCAAAAGGTCATCACTACCCTACCTGGCCCCGTCCTCAAAGCGATTTCATTTCAGCCGGCGCTACCCCATACGAAGCTGGCCTGGATCGAGTCCCAAACATACGGGTACTACACGAAAGCTATGATGGAATTCAGCACCCCGTTCTGGGTCGAGAAGGGATATTGCGGATTGGCACAATCTTTCGTCGGCCCTGCTTCTGTAATCCGTGACACGAGCAGTCCGGCAGACAAAAAGTTCGTACTTACATGTTTCATGGCCGGCGAGCCTGGCCAGGCATGGGCGGCAACGGCAACCGCCGAGCGAGAGAGCAGCCTTCTGCAGCAACTGAGCCTACTGTACGGTGTTGAGAATATTCGTCGGCTCTTCAAGCAGATGGTTTTCTACGAATGGGTTAACGATGAGTTTTCGGGATGGGGATGCCCTTGCACGTCACTCACTCCTGGAGTTCTTGACACGCTTGGTGGAGATGGGCTTCGGGAGCCGTATCGTGATATCCATTTCGCGGGAACAGAAACCGCAGGTGAATGGAAGGGATACATGGAAGGCGCTGTACGAAGTGGAGAGCGGGCGGCTGCGGAAGTTGTGAAAGGTCTTCAAGGCGGTCTAGTATCACGCCTCTAGTTACCTCATGTATTCCTTGGTTAATAAGCTCGATAATATTACACGGGCTTGAAGGTATGTCTTTGCCGATACGAAACATTTGACTTTTCTACTGAAGTAGAGGTAAGCATTTATCTCCATTGAAGCTATAATCTGAGATATCATGTTCTACTACCAGACCATATCACTATTGCTGCACGCTAACTTATAAGCAGCGTGGTATCAGCCCCGAATGCTGGGATCTGGCTCAAGAGTCCACTACCAACAGCTCACGGTGTTGTATGTAGCGGCGCCGGGCTTCTGCATGGTTGCCATTCTAGAAGACCATGCCGCTCAGACAAGGGACGAGAGCGCTGTCGCGCGGTGCCGGCCTCTGTGCATCAGCCTGGTGTTTCGCCCACCGGCATGGCATACAAGCTTCATCCATTCACAATCGGCCGATCTTTTCACTGGCGCAGTGAGTTAAGGTTTCCCCTTCCGAAGCATTGGTACCGTAGTGTTTGTCGCAATAGCCAAGCAGATACAGATAATGCCTGGCTTTTGTTGATGGGCGCTCGGTAATCTCGGTTTGTGGGGGAAGTGCAGGGTATCAATTGGAAAGCTGCCACTGTAATTCGATCCAGTACGATGGACTCGGGATTCTGGGAATGCCTGATTTGATACGTTAGATGTATCATACCTCTTTTGACTTCGACCAACGGCCCTTGAGGTTGCGACTTTGACATTGGATGTTGCGCTTATCGATGGGATTGTCTTGTACATGTATGTGGTCAGTAGTTCAAATACGTAGCCTGAAAAACGTGTCTGAGGATATGAATGCTAGCGGTTGCGTTCATTCTGAATTTCCCTTTCGCCGGCATCTACTGACTTATCTGCCCAATCCGACTTGTAGACTTCTTTGCGAGTCACTTCTGAGGTCTGGATTTTTCGAGGCAGCTTAACATCTTTCCGAAGACACATCGGCGTCCATAGCGACCTGTACATCCAAAATGCTCACCACATCATTCCAGTTGACTCATGTCACACCGATTCCCGACTACATGACGCGCGAGGAGGTCCTCTCCCACCTCCACAATGCGGAAGTCCACATCAAGAGCGACCCCAATTTGACGCACTGGACGCCCCGCACGCCAAAAGTACCCCCCACTGTCCCCGACGATGTCGATTCTATCGCCGTCACTGAGTGTTACACGATCACGGATACGGTGCCTACCAACCTCCCAAAGGCGCTGCCCAAGGGCATGTTGGAGAAGAAGAGCGTCAGCGAGTACGAATTTACTTTTACCCCGGATGGGAGTTTCGTCAAAATTCACTGTCCCATGAGCGTCCTTTTGGAAACGCGGTGGCGTGTTCGGAAGGGGAGCGACGGAAGTCTCGAGTTAGAAGAGGTTGTGGACGCTCACTGTTCCCGTTTCCTTGTGGGCGTTGTAAAAGGCGAACTAGAGAAGAACTGGGTGGAGGTCCACCGGAAGATCTTAACAGGGAAAGCATGAGTCGTAGGATCACAGAGCTTACATCGCGATAGACGTACGCAACATATAATACAATGACTTTTACTTGGACAGAGAGATTCAAGATGTTCAAGAACCAAGCAATCATTCGCTTTTACCAAAAGAAAACACGACATCCAATACAGGCCCGCGCATCACCTAGAGATCACCTCCGCTTCACATCCTTCGGAGAACACCTTCGGAAAACACAATGTCGGCGATCATATACGCCGTCTCAAATCAAAACAGGTGCGCCACTAATCAAAGTTTTCAAGGCCGGCCGGAAACAGTCCAATTGTCATCGTGTATACACGAATCTTGAGAGGCACTAAAGATTCGGACATAATCTTTACTCTCCTTTGCACAACTCTCCACGCGACTTCCAGATTTCATACTCGAAGTCGGGTTGAAACTCTGTGTATAATGTCTCCTATGTGTTCAATCGGAGTTAGCCTTCAGCTATTCTTGTCGAGGTTGAGTATCACGCAGGCTTTTTTACATACCGGATCAGCATTGACTTTGGCTGTGAACTCAGCCTCCTTTGCCCCG